TTCTTTCTCTTATATTTAAGATTTCTTTGTCCCTTCTTCGTCCCCAGTTCCTACTACACTACTCGGACCTATAGGTCATTAACAGAGATTTTTGTTTTCTTTTTAATTAAATGTATAAATGCTTATCAGTAGGGGATTACTCATCTTTCAGGTCCTAGCTCAAATGTTAGCCCCTCACCAGACGCCTTAAGTATTCAATCTAATGGCTTTCCATTGCTCTCTTACATCACCCACTTATTTAATTACTTATTTATTACCTATCTTCCCACCTCACCAGAGAAATAATCAGAGCTAACATTTAAATAGATGTGCCAGGCACTATTCTAAGTGCTGTGCATATATTAACCCTTTGAATCTGTACCACAGCTATATAAGATAGGCATTATTATTCTTAAGCAGAGGACACTGAGACACAGAGAAGTTAAGCAACTTGCTCAAGGGCACACAGCAGTAAAATAAGGTAGTTGGAATTCAGACTTTGGCAGTCTGGTGCCAAAATCCATGCTCTTAACCATTAAGTATCCTACCTGTCCATGAGTGAAAGCTGGTCTGCATCCCCAGGCTTAGAACAGTGCCTGTCAGTGTTGTATGTTAAGTGCATTAATACATTGTGGTAAATTCAGAATGCCATACTGTTTAGTTAAATCATCATATGTACTGTTATGGAAAGATTTTTGTGATACATTAAGTGACCACAGCAAATATAGAATATTACATGTAGCCTCGTCCTATTTTCAGAAAACAAAAAGGTATTTACACACATGGCTTATATGACATCTACAAAATATTTATATACGTATGTGTTGGGGGGTTAGAGAAAAATTTGGAAGATTAAACCATCTCCATGATCATTTCTAGGGACCATGATGGTGGGGTAAGGGGGATTTTTTTTAATACCTTCTTTAAAAAACTATTAGTTAAGAGTAAGTGTTTTCTTTATAACAATAAATGTTAAGGAAAATTTCTAAAACTTTTGACAAAAATAAATGCCCTTTTTCTCTTGTTCCATACACTCTTGAATTATAACTTCAAAATAATAAATACTTTAAAAGCCCTGGGCTTTGTAAATCTGTAAATGAATTAGAGCAATTGTTTCTTACTTTATTTGAGCTTAAGTTTTGCAATGTGGTTTTGTTCAGAACGTCTTCATTTACTTTTATTCTTTCCTAAGTTGAGGTGGAGAGTGAGAGAGGGCTGCATTCTCACAATTGAGAGCTAAATAGATCACCCTGCAAATTATCACATAATAGCTTTATGCCATTATTATTGATGTAATTATTATTATATGTATGACATCAGGATGTCATATCATATTACAAAAGTCTGCATGCTGTGGTGTAACTAACTCTTGGGATTTTAACACTGAATATGTAAACCTTTGTTTTCCAGCATCTGACTTTTGCATTTTATTCCTGATAAGGAGAGTGTTAGTTCATAGGTTAGTTGGTGTATCAAAGTAGAAAGATGTGTGCATGGCATTTTCTTGAAAAAATGGGCTTCCTTAAGGGTTGTTGAGCTCATTCACCTCCTTCAGGAAAGTACATTTGAGGAGCAAGGTCAACTGAGGTTGGAGGTGTGTATGCTGATCTCTTATTATTGAAGCATTCCAAGAATGCAGTGTCCTATACTTCAAAGTTGCATAATAAAGATGTTTGGCACCGATCTGTTTGACTTCACTTTGTAGTGTGGCCTCTCAGGGTCAGGCTATTTTTCTGAGAGCCCAGAGGTCCCATCATTGTGCCAGGTCACAGGAAGGGACATGAAAAGCTAGAGGAGGATAGGGCAGAGACCAGAGGGCCCAGGCACCCAAGAGGACAAACTTCCTTCGCCCTCACAAATTTCTCAGCCCTGCCTCCACATCAGAACCACCTGGGGACTTTTGAAAACATCCATGTCTACCTCACCCCACACCAGTTGAGTTGGAATCGCTGGGATTTGGGCCTAGGCAGCAATTGTTTAAAAAGCTATTTTAATGGGTGGCCAAGGTTGAGAATCATTGGCTCACATGTAGCACACCGTGGCTTCTAGAAGCTCCTGTGCACATTAGGAAGGAAGTGGGGGCTGGGCGTCCACTGGAATGAGTGGACGCACAGTACCCCTCACATCGCCGGGGAGGCTGGAACTGCTCCCATTGAGATCCATTGCTTCTCCACCTCTAATACGCTCACAAGTGGGAAGTGGTCCTGGTGAGTGGTATTGAAGAGCAAGCTGGAGGGTCTGAGGGGAGCTAAAAATCACTGATTCAAACAGGGCACCCACAGTTGGGGCCAGGCAGGTTAGGGCGGAGCTGGTTCTATTAATCGGCCCAGCAGAGTCTGCAATATCATTTCATGATACTTTTTCTCATGTCTGTGAGGTGGGCCTTGTTGCCATTTGATGGATAAGGAAACTGGGCTGGAAGGATTGGAGGGCCAGGATCACACAGCTGTTTTGTGGCCAAGTAGGACCAGAATCTGTGTGGCTACCGATCCAGGGCTCACCCTACATCCCCACAGCAGCCTTAGAAGGCTGCCTTTGATTTTAGTATTTCCTGCTTCAACTTATAAGACAAGTCTCTTGAATTTTTTATGGACTTTTGCAACCCTTGTGGCAAGGGGCTAACTAGTGAAAAACTGACCAGGGAAGATATCAGCCAAAGGAGCAAGGACCCACTTTTCCTATTCTCTCATTTATAGATCGTTTACATTAAAACTATAAATTCTGAATGTTTCTTTATTACAGCAATAGCTAATGTGTGCAGAACACGTACTCTATGCTACTCACTAAACTTTGAAGATTAATTTGAGTCCTCCCATCAACCACACGGCATAGGGTACTATTATTATTTTTTTCATAATACTATTCTTGATACTATTATTGATTTTACAGATGAGGAAACTGAGGTTCAGAGAACTCAGGCAACTTGCTTCAAGCCATACAGCTAGTGGATAGTAAAGCCCAGATTTGAATCCAGTTTGGGGCAAGAACTCACACACTTATCCATTATAGCAGGCTGAGTTAGAGCCCTGCTGATCTGAGTTCCCAGTCTGGCCTTGGCCTCCTACCTTTTCTACCTGTTTCTTTAATTGTAATCATTGTTTACACTTCTTGTGCCTTTATCAGACGTTAGGCATTGTTCCAAGGGCTTTACAAATTTTATCTCATTTAATTCCTTGATACTGGCCCCCTCATAGAGAGGCTCTTGTCTAGCTTACAGCTGTTCTTACCACCACCCCTCTTTCTGCAAGGCCCCGTTGTCCCCTTTCTGAAGAAGCTGCTAAAGGACTATGTCAGACTTCTGGTGACTTCTGCCCATCTGTCCTCCTGGCTAGAACCCTGTGCTCAGCTCTTCTTCCAAGTTCTTGGTGGTGGTGTCCCAGATCGCCTCCCCTTGAGTCAGTCTGCCTCTGCCCACAGCCTTCCCACATCACCCATGGGGACACAGCAGGCCACTCAGACCGTCGAATGAAACACTGGTTGGTGTCTGTGTGACTGGGCTAAGCGAGGGGTTGCAGGATTTCATTCTGAGCTGAAGCAATGAGATCTTTGCTTGCGGAGCCCGGTTGACTGAACATCAAATGAGCCACGACACCCAGAGAGCGCTCACTGTCACATCCAACTGTGAGCCTCCCTGAAGCCACTTTGAGCTCCTTCCAGATAGCTCCGGAGGATTCCCTTAGGGCCAGGTGGCCTGTCGTTCACCACACTCACATCCAGCTCTTTTGTGTTGGGGGGATTTTCCCCTCCCATTTCCCTCTGTCTGTGGTGTTCCCTGGCTCCTCTCATGGCTGGATGGTTCGAGAACTCAGGTCTCATTCAGCTCAGGATCTCACTGAGTTCTTCCATGATCACTTGTGTTTAAAGGAACATTATTCTTTTCTGCCCTCACCCACTCTTTTTTTGTTTGTTTGTTTAAGATTTTATTTATTTGTCAGAGAGAGAGAGAGAGAGAGCATGAGCAGAGGGCGAGCGGCAGGCAGAGGGAGAGGGAGAAGCATACTCCCTGCTGAGCAAGGAGCCTGACGCAGGGCTTGATCCCAGGATCCTGAGATCATGACCTGAGCCAAAGGCAGACGCTTAACTGACTGAGCCACCCAGGCGCCCCCTCACCCACTCTCTTAACATCACCTTTATTTCCTTTCCACACGCTTTAATCATCGGGTTTTTTCTTTACTTACTTATGGTCTGTATTTCCCATGAAAATGTAAGCTGGAAGTGGTTTTTGTTTTTGTTTTTTTTTTAACTCACTGCCCTGCTATGTAGCTACTTCCAGCACAGTGCCTGACCCCCAGGAGGTGCTCAATAGATATGTAAAGAAAGAAGAAGGAAGTAAAGACCCCTCTCTCATGGAGGTTGATGGTATTGACCTTGCTGCCAGAAGCTCATTTTCGTCACCCCAGTCCTGCCAGTGACCTTTTCTTACTTCCTCTTCTCTGCCTCCTTAATCAAGTTGGACCTTGCTTGGGGTTTTTGTTGCTGTTGTTTGTATTGGCTGAACCACTCCGGGCCTCCGCGCTTCTTCTCAGTTCCCGCGTGTTGAAGGAAGTGGTTGCTGTCCTTGTGAACACCCTCTTGGTAAATCAAATCGGAAAGGCCGTTTGGGCTCCCAGTGAAGCAGGCCAACTGTCACTGAGGAGGAGGGACTCTTGGTTGTGCGTCCGTGGGAGTATGTTGGTCAAATGCAAGTTGAAACTGCTAAAACAATATAACCATGCCCTAGGCAATATACTGGGTTTCTAGGGGCATATAGAGGCAGACCTTCTATATTCAGTGGGCTTCCTGGCTATTGGCTCAATAAGACTGAACCGAGCAAGATAGATACTGGCATTATGGGGCAGATACTAATTCAAGGCAAGAGATTACCAGCACTTCATTTGTAATGGAGAGCAGTCACTGGGGTCTGGGAAGGCTTTGGGAGATGTAGTCAAGGCAGTGAATGACGCGGGATCTGGATAAGTTTGCTCGAGTGTATTCTTTTGCTTAGTACTCTGTGTGGTCCCTGGCTTCTTTGTCCCCCTTAGGTAGACCCCACGGTTGCTCCAGTGGCCCTCTGGCTGCAGGGAGGGCCCGGAGGTTCATCCATGTTTGGACTCTTTGTGGAACACGGACCTTATTTTGTCACAAGTAACATGACCCGTAAGTATTGCTTGGACTCTATTTTCCTATGGAGAGGTTTTCACCTGAACCTTATATCTGCTCCAGAAAAAATTTAAAGTGTACGTGGAACCACAAGGAATAACATAATAGTTTTAGATGATAAAAACGTCGCTCTCTGGTGATGTCTGTCCAAGAAGGAGGAGGCACCAGGGTGAGTGTCCTGGCTGGGCTTCTTTCTCCCTTGAAATTTGGGTGAAAGGTTCTAAGCTATTTTCTTGTAGTCTGCTGCTGACTCAAGCAATCTGGGCTTATGAAAACAGTTGGTATCTATTACTCTTTGGGCGAGCTCTTTTGCATGAGACAGATGGAATTATATCCCTAATTATTCACACAAACTGAACACTGTATGGTTCAGTCAACATAAATGATCAGATATCCTGGAGACAAGATGCTGTGGGTGGGGGCGGGGGCAGAGGAAGGAGCAGAGGAGTCACATCTGGCTGTCACCCCAGTTTACCTCCATCTCATTTTCGGGGGGTGGGGGAGATCGTTTACTTTCCCTGGGCCCGAATTTGGAGGGTGAACCATTCGTGACTTAGGTAAAAAAGCATGTCTGCCATTTCTGCTGGAGTTGTTCTCCTTGGCATTGGCTAGGAGGAAGAAGATTCATAAGGATCAGACATTAAGAAGGGTTGATTGGATCAGACAGATGGGTTTACCCTATAGGTAGTTGATGAGTTTTTCCAGTTGCATGGAGTCTTGTTTCCAAACTTCATCCTAGAAAAGGATGTAGAAACCCTCGGGGTCCAGGGAAAGTAAAGGAGAGGAGAGGAGAAGAAAAAGGTATTGGTGTCTGTTCCCCACTGCGAGAGTATGAGGCAATGTCAGAGGGACACCGGGAGTTCATTGATAGGATGGGGACAGGTGGGCTTGTTGGGCTCCTGAACAAAGTTGGGCCCTAGGTGGGATGTTTTGTTAAAGACCCAGTCTCAAACCTCTTCTCTGTTTTGCTAGTGCGTCCCAGAGACTTTGCTTGGACCACCACACTTTCCATGCTTTACATTGATAATCCAGTGAGTATCTGATGACCTTATGAAATGTCAATGTGGGCCTCTCTTGTCTTTTTTCTTTTTATAAAATATATTTAAGAGATGGGGGGCAGGAAATAGAAATTTAGGGTGGTTTTTTTTTTTGCTTTTTAAAATAGAATTTAGGGCGCCTGGGTGGCTCAGTTGGTTAAGCAACTGCCTTCAGCTCAGGTCATGATCCTGGAGTCCCGGGATCGAGTCCCACGTCCGGCTCCCTGCTCATCAGGGAGTCTGCCTCTCTCTCTGACCCTCCCCCCTCTCATGCTCTCTCTCTCTATCTCATTCTCTCTCTCAAATAAATAAAATCTTTAAAAAATAAAATAAAATAAAATAGAATTTAATCTATTAAAAAGCATTTGGGATTTAGTTTTTCTAACATGTATCCTTAAATCTGAGTTTCGGAATTTTGCTTGCTACCTTCTCTCCTTCTCTCATTTTAAATCTTATGAAATGTCCTGTTCAGTGCATTATACCATCCAGGATAAGGGATTAGTTTCTTTCCACTGATTATATGGCTTCCCCATATCATGGATTATTATATAGTATTAGAATTCCTAATTTTTCTAACAGAGTTCTAGGTTTAAAAAGTCAAAACTGGTCTCCCTCATTTATCACAGTGAGCCTCATTTGGAATAAAAAGTAGAATTCTCCTTGGGAAGTTCTTGTGAAATTGAGTCCAGTAAACAGCAAAGTAGGAGACTAACTTTAGGGTCAGCTTCTGCTGCAGGAGTATCTTTACCTCCTAGCTAATTTCTCTGATTTCTTTCACTTCCCAGATGGTTCAAAGAGAAAACAGGTAAATAGGGAGTAAAAGGAGAACAACATACCCATTCCTCCCCCCCTTCATACCAAGTTTTGTCAACCATCCTCTTTCCTAGTCTATGACTGCATATTTATATTGCCTAAGTTGAATGAAATGTCCTGTTCCCTTGTGTGTTTGGGGAAAACAAAAACAAAATCAAAATACTTAGTTGTGGTTGAGGTGCACCCCTTATACAAATTATTGATGCAAAATCAGTGATAGCTTCTTATTTTTACAGCTTAGTTGTCTAGGAACTTCTAGGTATAAGGAAATATTAGTTTAAAACTAATCTTTATTTTAAAACCTACTTACTGAATATGAAGGGGCTTAGTGGCCATATTTCTCGCAAATGAAAATCAAAACACACACATACACCATCTTTTATCTGCAGCCTAGAGAGTTCCTTCTTGTCAGGACAGAGCAATGCACTCTCCAGGTTTCAGAAAGGAGACAACTTTGGGTCTTTTGATACTATGTTGGGGGCCAGGAAAGGCGAATTCCTCCCCCTTAAATCAACATCAAATCAAATCAACCACAGTGGAATCAGGACAGCTCAGCCACTGACCTTTATGCTAATTTTTTTTTTTCTTTTTTAGAGAGAGCAAGAGGCGGGGGTGGAGGGGAAGAGGGAGAGAGAGCATCCCAAGCAGACTCTGCACTGAGCGCGGAGCCTGACAACGGGGCTTGATCTCACAACAGATATCACAACCTGAGCGGAAACAAAGAGTTGGACGCTCAACTGACTGAGCCACCCAGGTGCCCGGTGCTGATATTTTATTTGGGCTTGGAGGACAGGAGAGGAAAAAGGTGAAATGCAGCATCCTCCTATGAGGTTGACTAAATGCACATGGGGTAGAGGCAAAAATCCAAGATCAGAGGCTTAGCCTTTGGAATAAGGTTGATTTCCTTCCAGTGTGGTATCTTCTGGAGGGCTCCGAGGCTTGTGCTTCTCTGTTTAAACACCTGCTTATTTATTTCACCCTCAGGTGGGCACAGGCTTCAGTTTTACTGACGACCCCCGGGGATATGCAGTCAATGAGGATGATGTGGCACAGAATTTATACAGGTAAAAGGTCCTGCCTCCCTCTTGGCCTTCTTCAGACCAAACATTTTTCTATTTCAATAGGGAAATTCATCCAATAGTGTAAGTATTACTGATTGGTCCTCGTGGTCTAATTCTTAAAGACATTTTAAGAATACTTCCACATGAGGAGTTCACATCCACACGCATGCGCATGCACAAACGGTCTATTTTCCACTTCGTTACCTTATCACTGATAATTGTGAAAATGGCCAGCAAAGAAAATGACAAGAAAAGCTGGAATCCTAAGGCATGATTATAATTTTGTAAAAATAGCCTTTAAGAAACAATAGAAACAGCAGAATTATTCAACCAAAGATTATTTTCAAACCTTTCAGCCAGATGCCTCAGAGGATTTCTGCTTGCTTTTCAACATTGCATTTTAACTTTGCATTTGCCTGGAAACAGCATCTTCCTAGATGCTTGCTTGTTTCTTTTCTTTCTCTCTCAGGCCTTCAAATGCAGTTTTCCCCTCGCTTGCTTCTCCTTCATGACTCCCAAGCTGAAAGCTCAGCTTGCTAGCTAGTCTCTTACTTTTTTCCTTCATCTTACAAAATTATTCTTGTGCTAAAAAGAAGAAAAAAATGGAAGGAAAATGTAAAGTTGTAAGCCTGGTCAAACAGTGTACATATAATTTCTTCTTTTTCTTACATTTGTTACAGCCATTTTTAGTACTTTTTTTTTTTTAAGTAAGTGACTGTTCTTATTTGGTCACATTTTTCCAGTCTGTAAATTATTACTAGAGATCAAGTCCTGAATTCTTTCCGATCACTAGGGCACCTACTTTATGCATTATAATCATTTACTAAAAAAATCCTCGTGGCTAGAAAGAGTTAACCAGTGCCCCTATTTCCCAGTTGCACCAAACACTCATTCGGCTTGGTGAGCAAACCCAACCAATCCCTAAAGTGAAAGTAAATTTGATAGAAGTCAGAGTTTTTTGATCTCTGACAAAAGTTTTCCGTTTTGTTTTTCTTTCTCCCCAAGGCAGATGGCTGGGGGACAGAGGAAAGAGGAACCTGGACTTTCTTCCAGATATTTCTCTCTCCCTTCCTGACCCAGAAAACAATATGGTGGCTGTTTTCTACACTTTCATTTGTCCTATGTCCCCTTATTTTAACACTTCCATTCAATTTCTGGGGGGAGGGCTAGGACCCAACACTTTTGTTACCAGGTACCGTGGGTCCTGGGAGCAGATTAGCCAGATTTCTACAGGGGTTCCCCCTCCTCTGCCCCTAGCTCAGGCACTTCCTGTTACCTTATAGAGACAGAGTTGTGGTGGCTATCCTTAACAAGTTTTCTCAAGCACCAAGAGCAGTGACTGTGTGCTCTCATTTTACAGATAGGAAACCTACTTCCCCCGCATTCCTCCCCACCCCCTCCGACCCCCTTTTGGTTTAAATCTAAACAAGCTCAGTTGTTTAACTAGCAAACACCCAGAGGGCGGAGGTTCCAAGAAATGCATCAATCCCCACTAAGCCAGAGCATGCAACCCTGCCATTCCTTTTCTGTCTCTCCTTCCCCTCTCCCAAAGATGGTCCCAACTTCCCGTTGACCCTCCGTGTGGTTATTTACTGCTGACATGTGGTACATCTCCTTTTGCATGACATGTAAAGAGAACCTATTTCAAAGCATCCATTGTTTATAGCTGTTTCAGTTCTTTTTGCTTCAGGCTCTTAGAACTAGAAAATAGCTAATCAAGGGTAGTGCAGAAAACTGATTTCAGCTGTTTCTTTTATAGTTTACACTATTTGTTTCCCTCTGTGACTACATTCTTCTTTCCAGCTCTCCAGATGGGTGTTTGGAATAAGAAGGTCTCTTTGAAACCTATAAACGGGTTACTACAGGTTTAAAGAGTGGACCTTCTTTTTCTCCCTTTGAAAAACATCTTTCTTTTTTTTTTTTTTTTTTCTGAAAATCCCATTCCTTTTGACTATTAATAGTCCATGGCTGTAAGGAGTAGACTCCTACTAAAGAGGCATTTGACATTCACACTCAGGCTGCTTTTCTTTGTGTTTGGAAGTAAAGCTTTTTTTTTTTTTTTACACTAACAACATGTTTAAATATTCGAATTTTTGGTATTTGGAACATGCTATTAAGCCACTATGCCCCTCTGGTTTAGGTTAAAAAAACTAATTGTACTAAAGAATAATGAATTTATTAACTGATTTGGAGTATACTGTCTGGTGCCATTCTCCTTCTTTCACTGTTTATCAATTGCCTGCTCTGTGCCAGACACTTTTCCTGGTGCAGGTGACAGAATAGTCAGCCAGCCCCAGGGTCCTCATTCTGGTACTTACCATCGAGTGGCGTGCCTGAAGTTAGCTTCTTAGCAGCAGATGGAAATGATAGTGTCGTTCCGTTCCATCTGCTGGTTTGTATAGGAAGTAATATCAATTGCTAAACAAAGCCCATAACAATGACTATGACACAGATTTCATATATTAAATGAGAACACTGCGTGATTGGCCCGGGCAGAGCCGATCGGGGCCCAGCCGTCCTCGGTGTGGGATGAATGGGAGGATGGCTGCCTATAGGCCGCCACAGAATAAAACGACAAGCTTCTTGTCACTGCGCTTATTTCAGTTGAACTGTTAGTGACTCAAGCTGCCCCTTGTTTAGCTTTTGTTGGTATGGAACTTTTGTTTAGATTATCTTAACCTCGATTCTTTTGAGTGTCTCATATTTATTATGACTCTGACTCCACCAAACTCTCTAGTGCATTATCATTTCCATCTACCTTCTGTGCCCCGAACCCACCAACTTCCCTTTTTACAAAATTTATCTGAGGAAGACTTTCTTCCTAGTCATTGTCCCTTGCAAGCGCGGTTTCTTCCTGTTGTCCTTTAATGTAACTTTCTGCCACCAGGTGGCCTTTGACTAAATTCAACTTACTAGACAAGGCCCTTGGCACAATGCTAGCAAGTTGCCCAAAAGAACCATCTGGCAGAGGCTTGCTTCCTGGGACATCTATCTCTTGTGCCTGAATAAATGCGTGGCGTGCACGCACACACACACACTCATGCACACACACGTACATTATGTATTATAGATTTTAGCAATTCTGCTTCCAAAATTTGAAACTTTTATGTAGGCTTGATTCTAGATTATATTTTTAAGCAAACCCTCACCGTGGAATACGAATTACACACAGTGGAGTAAAACACAGTTAAACAAGCAAATGGCATATGTAAATCCAACTTACTAAATTTACTTTTTTCATTCTTCATTCCCATTTAAGAAAGGTCTACCAAGGGCTTGCTATGATTAGCCGAATGTTTGTTCTGATCTTCTTGTGAAATTAAAACTATAACTTCCTCAAGGTGGGAGCCTTGCCTTGGAAACGTGAGCTAGAAAATCCTGGCATTTTCGAGCTAGAAGCAACCTGAGAGGTTAGCTCCCTGAACTAAGATTGCCCGATGAAATACAGAACGCCCAGTTAAATGTTAATTTCAGATAAATAATGAATAATGTTTTTACTCTAAGTATGTCCCATGCAATATTTGGGTCATAGTTACATGAAAACATTATTTGTTGTTTATCTGAAATTCAAGTTTAATTGGATGTCTTGTATTTTTATTTGCTAAGGCTGGCAACCCTGACAACTTTAACAGATTCTCCAAGGAAGTAAGCTTTAAGCTAAAGCATAAGGCTTAAGTGAGATTTACTATATTAAATTGTCTATTGCCATTCCAACTAGCAGGAAGAGAGACAGAGAAGTAGTTTTTAGCCTGAAGGGTGGCGAGGGAAGGGTGGAAAATAAACTTCTATTTTTATCTCCACGCTAAAGCCAGCTTATTGCCAGCACAAACATGGAAGCTATATAGTGCAGCTTCCCAGATTCAGTTGCTACAAAGACTTTAGTTACTATAAATAATAAATACAGAAATACACCACAGCTCTACAGTGGTCTTTAATGGTGGATTTTTATGGAGCCTTTGAAAATTAAGTACAGCCAGGATCTTGGGGATTGTAATGACCCAGTTTTGCCTCCCTGTAACCCTTGAACTTTCTCCTCCTCCTGGTTTTGCAGGGTCTCCTTGCCTTTCATCTTTGCTGGATAGTTCATGGCTTTTAGTCCCTCAGCAGGAAGCTGGAACAAAAGCGCTGCCTAGCTTCTCAGACAATGCAATCTGGGTCAACACACTCTTAGAGCTTCTGAGTTTCACAAGTTTTGTTTCCTTTTTGAAAGATTTTGGTCAAGTAGAGAATCATTCAGTAATCTACCCTTTTCTTGCTTGTTATGAAATAATTTGAGTCTGTTTAAATCTATTTCAGTATAACTCATTGAAGTGGCTATTGGCGTTCCAGTAAGTGTGATTTTTTTGGAGCCTAGATGCCACAGGACAGTTACTTCCAAATCTGGCCATTTGGTGGTTTTCTTGTAGACCATGGCCAATTTAAAGGGTTGTTTTTTGTTGTTGTTGTTCTTGGGTTATTACAATGCTGAAATTTGGGGAACCCCATTAGAAATGTTCAGGGTTCCCCCATAGGAAGAGGATGGTAAGCCAATAAGGTTCTCATTACTTCACCACAAACCCGGGTTAATGGGGTCATAAGGTTTGTGGAACCTCCTCCAAGAATTGCTATAATAATAGATGAAAGCCCATATCACTTTGCTCAAGGGTCCCCTCAATAGCTAGATGGTCCAGGTTGGTAATGCAGAGATTTGGAAACCTGCCCAGGGTGTTGACTCACCTTTATGGGTAAAGTAAGCCCACAATTATTTCCTAACCATCTACAGTGTGGAATGTCACGTACATGACGCTTTGAATATAATGCCTACCAGAGCTCACAGCCTAATAGCATCTTACTTCAAATGTGAAACCTAGGGGCGCCTGGGTGGCTCAGTCGTTAAGCGTCTGCCTTTGGCTCAGGTCATGATCCCGGGGTCCTGGGATCGAGCCCCACATCGGGCTCCCTGCTCGGCAGGAAACCTGCGTCTGCCTCTCCCACTCCCCCTGCTTGTGTTCCCTCTCTTGCTGTATCTCTCTCTGTCAAATAAATAAATAAAATCTTAAAAAAAAAAAAATGTGAAACCTATTGTCAAAGGGTTAGATTTGGTAGCATAGCATTAAACTCTTCTGATGTCATGTGATATTTTTTATTATTGTTCTTTTTTTCAGTGCATTAGTTCAGTTTTTCCTGTTGTTTCCTGAATATAAAGAAAATGACTTTTATGCCACTGGGGAGGTAAGTTGAAGTCATGTTTTCTTGTGTCTTCCAATATCATCAGGACTGAAATATGTCATGACATTGTGATTCCTGCATTCAGTGTGTAAACACACACACACACAAACATATATTAATATTAATTCAGCCCATATTCAAAATTTTCTATTTACTCCCAAAATGTTTTCCATAACACTTTTTATTATAAATCCAGGGCTCCCTAAAGTTTTGTATATCACAGTGGATTGTTAGGTCTCAGCCCCCTGCCGTTTTTTAAAAAATTTTATTTATTTATTTGAGAGAGAGAGAGCCCGAGCAGGGGGTGGGGTGGAGGGAGAGGGAGAGCAAACTCCCCACTGAGCAGGGAGCCTGACACGTGGCTCGATCCCAGGACCCTTGGATCATGACCTGAGCTGAAGGCAGACACTTAACCAACTGAGCCACCCAGGAAACCCCATCCCCTGCCTTTTTTGTTGTAGTTGTCATTCATGATGATGATTTTAAAGAGTCTAGGCCAGGTGCCCTGTAGAATATCCCATTTTCTGAATTTGTCTGATTCTTTCCTCATTGCTTACATTCAGTGAAAACATTTTGGCAGGAACATTACATAGATGATGTGTGTATTTCTGTGGTATCACATCATGAAGCACATGATACCTGTTTGTCTCATTATTGGCAATACTAAACTTGATCACTTGGTCCAAGTGGTATCTGCCAGATCTCACCATTGGAAAGGTACCCTTTTCCTTTTGAAATTAATAAATAGGGCGCCTGGGTGGCTCAGTTGGTTAAGCGACTGCCTTCAGCTCAGGTCATGATCCCAGGGTCCTGGGATCAAGTCCCGCATCGGGCTCCCTGCTCTGCGGGGAGCCTGCTTCTCCCTCTCCCACTCCCCCTGCTTGTGTTCCCTCTCTCGCTGTGTCTCTCTCTGTCAAATAAATAAATAAAATCTTTAAAAAAAAAAAAAAGAAATTAATAAATAATGTGAGACCATGTGAAAATCTGTTCCCCCCAGATCTGTCACCCACTAGTTTTAGCATTCATTGATGATTCCTCTCTGAATCAGTTATTCCACTGGGGCTTATACAATGGTGATTTTGGGGGATCTATCATCCTATAGATATCATCTGGTATTCTTCTATAGAGATCTTTCCCTCCTCTTCTTCTCTATTATTTACTTTTTAAAATATCACTGTGGACTCTTGGTTTGTTATTTCTGCTTGATGTGTTAAAATTTTTTGCCATTATTATTATTTTTGATGTTCATATTTCCCCTACTTGGTCAGAGGGAGCCCCTTCAGACTGGCTCTTGTGTCTTTTTTGACAGGGCCCAATTAGTCTTTGAGCATTTCCTTGCTTTTTGGCACAAATCTATGCTCTAGGATTGTCTTCTACTTTCCCTGCCCTAGCCCTGGAATCAATCATTTCTTCAAGGGACCCTGGCTCCTTTTAATGGGGGATGGTTTTAAAAACCAAGATCTGAGCACTAAGTGTGCTCATTGGTACTGGGATGCCATTTCTTTTTGACTTTCTCTGGAGGCAGAACTGGGGAACAGAATGACTTCATACTGATGCCCATAATTCTAATGCAACATCACAAGTTTCTTTTTTCCATTCCCCATTCTGTATACCCCTTCACCCACATTGTGGACCGTGTTTCCCAACAGCATCAGTATATTTCCCTCTTGGCTGAATCCTACACTATGTGCACAATGATTTTCGATTACTACATCAGAACCACTACCAACAAGGAAATCTCCAAGTTACTTTCAATATTTTTTGCTATAATTACTTTTATCCTTAGACTGCATTTCACCATAGGTTTAAAAGTACCATGTTTGAAAGTTATAAGACTTAACTCTATTTTTTTCCTAGGGTGATTATGTTATAATTTAACACACAGTTGGGTTCACTTGCATAGATTGGCTTCAGTTTTAGGATCTGCTTTTTTTTCATACATTTAAATGTAAGGTTATTTTAAGAATGTATAGCAGAAGAACCGCTAGGTGCTAGGTATACAATCGTGAACCAAACAAAACAATTTCCTGCCTTCATACATTGTAGAGGTGAAGACAGTGATAAGTGAAGAAATTAAAATGTACTCTACATCAGGCATTGATAAGGGTCATGAACAAAGATAAAGTGGGTGAGAGGGTTGCAGAGTGGTGGAGGTGCTACTGTGGATAAGATTGTCCGAGGCTCTCTGGAGACAGTCGGGTAGAGCACATGGAGCAGAATGAGTGAGGTAGTAAAGCTCTAGCTACAGTTACCTTGGAGAAGAGCTTTCTTGGAAGGAGGAATAGCAAATGCAAAGACTGAGTTGGGGACAGACTCATGGAAAAGCACGGAGCCACTGTAGAAAGATCTGAGATGGGAGAGGCAGGAAGATCATGTAGGTCCATGGTAGAGTTTGGACTTTATTCTAAGTGTAATGGGAACTCGTTGACGGGTGCAGTGTTCACTGAAAGAGTAGTTAGAATCAAATTCAATTCAACACACATGTTTGAGTGACTACTATGTCTGAGGCATTGGACAAGTATTAGAAATTCAGTGATTAATAAGACACTAACTCTACCCTAAATCTGTAAGCCTGGCAATAAATACAATACCAAATGAAAAGTACAATTAGAGAAGTAGGTATAATGACAAATAGCACAAGGAGAGTGCACATAGCTACCTCTCAATGTGGGATCCTCAGGAAAGGCCAAACAGAAGAGGGGTTACAGTTAAGCTGGATTTTGAATTATGAGGAGACATGTGTTAGTCAAGGCTGTTTTGCTTATAACCCTATTCAAAATGGCTTGAGTAAAATAGGAGATCAGCTGATTCATGGCTGGGTCTGGGTGCTCAAACGCTGTTACCAGGAATTTGTCTCTTATTCTTTCTTGATCTATTTGCTTGGCTTTGCACGTCACTGGTTTCATTCTAAGCTACGGTTTTTTCACCAGTGCCCTTGCCCCTCCACCCCACTCCAGAGCTCTAAGTATAGCCTATCAGCTCAACTTTTCTTTCCCAATATATTCCACCCATACTCCCGAATCTCGTGTGATCCATTTGGATCCCATGCCTGTTCTAGAACTAATAACTGGGGTCAATGGGATGGACAAACAGGTTGGCAATAATGGTGCCAGAGGCCCACCCCAGTGCTCTGGGAGGGGTAAGATCATAGGGGGACCCTCACCTTCTGAATCACAAGACCTGAGAGAGGGAGATGAGTGAAGATGAGGGAAGATCCTGGTGATTATACCAGAGGAAGGGCTGGAAGGATGCTGGGCAAGCTCAACCCACAAATGTTTACTGTAAGGGAGTCACGGTGAAAAATAGTCTGTAAGTATTTTCAAGGAAATGGCAAGTTAATGGAACTAGGAATTTCCTTCTCTTCCACCTGCTTTCTTCTCTTTCTGTTTGGAAGGATATTCTGACTGGCATATCATACTTAACGTCTTTTTTAAGCCAATTATTTGGTCAGGATTATGTAGGATCTCTACCAATCACTCCCTGAGGCAGGTTAGGCAAAGGGGCAGGAAGTGACACTCCTGTCATTCTGGAAACAACCCTGGAAAATGCCCAGTCTCCACCTCCAACAGAAGAGTGATCTGCTTACTGTGTAATTCCTGCCTTGCAAATAACATGGCGATGTTGTTAACCATGATGTTGGACTTTCAGCAAAGCTGCCAAATTCTGGATGAAGAATTTGTCTATTTCATGTCTGCCTGGCAGTTTCATGCCTGTAATTTCCGAATGTGTGTGGGAAAGGACAATTTTCTTTTTACATTCTTTGCTGCCAGGATGAATACTTTTAAGGAAACCTATGCCTTCCAAGTGATGGAGGAAGATGTGAACGAGGGAGGGCAGGACCTGGTTTAGAGATGCAGTTGCCAGGCAGCATCATCTTCATACGAACTACACGGGGTACATTAAATCTGGGGCCACATCTCTTTCTAGAAGGAAGAGCACTAAATAATAATGCCTTGATGGTTCGTTTTATTAGAATGAATGCTATATTTTTCCAGTCCAGTTTGTTCCTTCCAATCTTTTGTTTTAAGGCCAGGAGGCAGAAAGGAAACGTGGAAGGAGTTCTGGGTTAATAATCAGGAGACCTGAGAGTCATTGCTGGCTTTGCCTCTCTGGATGATTCCAGGCAAGTTCCTTAACCTCTCTTGGACTCTGCTTTTCATCTTACAGTCAGAGGGCTTGGATTTTAGGTTAGATCACTTCCAGGGATATTTTACTTTCCTAGATGTTCAAGCATAGTTACCTAGATATGTTTGTAAAGCATCTGTATACAATTGCAATGTTAACGTAATACCCACCCTCCTTCTCTCCACAAAAAAAAAGGTTATGATAGATTTTTCCAGAAAGGGAAATCCTTTCTCTTCAGAACTCTTAATTTCCGCACACTCTTAAGGAGGCCAAACAAATAATGCCATTAAATAGTAGAGTCGTCCTTGAAAAATAAATGGTAAACTTGGAAATGGTTTTCTGCTTTTCAATGAAAATGTACTGGACCTAAATATCCTTCCCATTTGTGTACTATGAGTGAGGGTTAGCATGATGCTGGAAGGGTCTGGAGCACCCTGACTTTGGTGCGAGGGAGTCTGGAAGTAATAACAATACCTACTACATAGGATTGTTTTGAGCATTTAATTAGATAATCCTCCTCAAATATTTAATGGAGTGATGGCTGTGGTGAGTACCCAACCCATGATGACTATTATTACCATTCGTGGGGAAAAGCTGGATTAATATATTACGGCTGCAAAGCATATGGCCTAATGCATGTAGACAGGGGCTGAGCTATTTAAAAAGTTCTGCTCGCTTGTTTTGGGGATGTGGCATTTTCTCTCCTATTATTTTGAAATTGTCTTTATTTTTTTATTTATTTTTAAAGATTTTATTTATTTGTTCGAGAGAGGAAGAATGTGAGATAGAGAGCAGGAGCAGGGGGGAGGGGCAGGCTCTCTCTGAACAGGGAGCCCACCCCGGGGCTTGATCCCAGGACTCTGGGACCTGACCTGAGC